GCTATATTGTATGGTCTGGAGACAGAGACAAAAAGACAGGAGAAAGAACTGGAAGTGGCAGAAATGAAGATGTTGAGGTTCTCCTTAGGAGTGACAAGGTTGGATAAGATTAGGAACGAGATCATCAGAGGTACAGCACATGTTGAACAACTGGGAGATAAAGTTAGGGAGGCCAGACTGAGATGATTTGGACATGTCAAGAGGAGGGACTGTGGGTATATTGGTAGAAGAATGTTAGAAATGCAGCTGCCAGGATAAAGACAAAGGAAGTCTAAAGAGGAGATATATGGATGCAGTTAGAGAGTACATGGAGGTAGTTGGAGTGAGGACATAGGATGCAGAGATGGCTGTGGCGACCCCTGAAGAAGGATCAACCTAAAGAAGAAGAAGAAGAAAGAAGTCGATAAATGGATGATTGGATTGCTGGATGGATATTGTTTGTACAGTAGTCCCTCATTTACCACGGGGGATCCGTACCCTGACGACCCGCTATAAGTGAAAAACCATGAAGGAGGAATAGTAGTACAAGTAGTAAGTAGTAGTTTATTTTATATATATATATATATATATATATATATATATACAGTGCCTTGCAAAAGTATTTGGTCCCCTTGAACTTTTCAACCTCTTGCCACGTTTCAGGCTTCAAACATAAAGATATAAAATTTTAATTTTTAGATGAGATGTTTCTAATTTTAGTGATATTATGCAGGTGGAAGAAGGCAGTTATAGTAACGTTTTTAATGTGGGGGATAAAAGACATGTCCTGATCAAAAATAACACCAAGATTTTTAACATTAGAGCTGGAGGCCAGATTAATGCATCTAAGGAGGGAGAAAGACTGAAAAATTCATTATATGATCAGCTGCAGCAAGTGCTAAATAATTTTAAATAATTTATTTTAAATAAAAATTTCATGCCAATCGTGTGGCTTATCCATCAATAAGCCAATTGTTTGTCATGTCCAATCTTATGTTGAAAAACTGTGATAGAGCAAGTCCGTGATAAACGAACCATGAAGTAGCGAGGGACTACTGTATAGTGTTTAGATGGATGATTGGATTGCTGGATGGATGGATGGTTGTTGATGTTGAAGTGCCAGTTCTCTGCTTGTGTATGATCGCCAAACATTGTTGGATCTTCGTCTCTCTGCCAAGGATTTAGTGAAATTCGACACTGATTGTGGTGTTCACACGACGTTTCAGCAGTTTTCCTTCACCAGTCGGACACCTGCTCACCTCTGCCACACCCACGCTCCTCTCCCTCGGCGTAAACGCCGGCGCCGCCGGGGTGAACGCAGCGGACGACTGTTAAAGATTAAAGCTTTCTTGGCACGATTTCCTGTGGTCTCCCGGAGGAGAAATGGAGTGGTACCTGGTCTCTTTCTGAGCCCGCGGTCGCTGGACCCTGCTGACAGCTGGCTGGTGTGTGCTGTCAGTTCGGATGACGTGGTCTGCCCCCGCGGCCCCTGCTCTCCCCGTCCTCGCCGGCGTGGTGTAAATCCCCGCCATCTACGAGCCCTGCGTCGGGCTCCACAGACAGCTGCAGCTTCGGATGCACCGGCCCCTGCCAGGTTTGGCCTTGTTAATGCAAGATCACTGTCAAATAAAACTTTCATCTTGAGGGATTTCTTCATGTCCCGTGATCTGGATTTTCTCTGCGTAACGGAGACATGGCTGAGAACCGGCGAGCCCACCGCTCTTATTGAACTGTCACCACCTGATTGCTGCTATTTTAATTCCCCGCGCCTGTCGGGTCAGAAAGGAGGAGGAATAGCAGTTGTTTTTAAAAATGATTTTAAATGCCGGCAGATCAGCCTGCAGTCTTCTTTTACAAGTTTTGAACACTGCTCATTTGAAATCGGCCGCGCTCGTGTTGTCTTGTGTGTCGTCATCTATCGGTCACCCAAGCACAATAAGGATTTTATAAATGACTTTTCAGAATTTCTGGCTGACATCCTGCCCAAATATGATTACCTTCTCATTCTTGGAGATTTTAATATTTGCGTCTGCTGCCCAGAAGAGCCGATCTCCAGGAGCTTTTTAAATGTTATTGACTCTTTTAACTTTGTGCAGTCTGTGTCTGGTCCTACTCATGAACTCGGGCACACACTTGACTTGGTCCTGTCTCATGGTCTGGATGTTTCCAACTTGGACATATGTGATGCTGTTTTTTCAGATCATATGCCCATCCTATTTGACATTCCCACTCACTGTCCAGTTAAAGTGCGTGCTCCTCCTCAGCGCTGTCGCATGTTTAACTCCTCCTCTCCAACCTTGTTCTCCTCCACTTTTCTTGGTCTCTGCGAGGATAACTCTAAAGACTCTCTTTGTTTAAATATTGATGAACTGGTTTCCAGCTTCCACTCTGTCTGTTTACAACCACTGGACACGATCGCTCCTTTGAAGAACCGGCGCACCAAACCTACCCCCGAACCCTGGCTGGGTGACGTCACGCGCGCTGCCAGGCGCGAGTGCAGAAAAGCGGAGCGCAGGTGGAAAAAGGACAGATTACATGTTTCTTTTAATATTCTCAAAGAGAGTCTGTTACATTATCAGAAAACTGTAATAGCCGAGAAGAACAAATATCTCTCAGGCATAATTTCTTCTAACTGTAACAACCCCAGAGTTTTGTTCAAAACCATAGATATTGTTCTCCATGCTCCCAAGTCTGTTGGTTTTGATGCCTCCACTGAAATCTGTGAAAGTTTCCTCCACTTCTTCACTGATAAAATTGTGTCAACCAGAGCTTGTATTTCTCAGCCTTCCTATGATCCTTCTGTTCCTCTACACCACTCATCTGTTTTGGATCAGTTTGAGCCGGTGTCCTTCTCTTTTCTACAGGACACAGTTGATCATATGAGGCCCTCTGGTTCTCCTGCAGACTCCATCCCACCTCGTTTGTTTAAGGAGGTATTTTCCACTATTGAACCAAGAGTACTTCAGATTATCAATAGCAGTCTTTCCTCTGGTATAGTACCTGAGGCTTTTAAACATGCATTTGTACGCCCTCTACTCAAAAAAACAGGTCTTGACCCCTCTCTCTGCTCCAATTTCAGGCCTATCTCTAATCTCCCATTTATTTCAAAACTATTAGAGAAGGTTGTCTACAACCAGTTGTTACCATTTTTAGAGGACCATGGTATCACTGAGCCGTTTCAGTCTGGGTTAAAAGCCCGCCACAGTACAGAGAGTGCACTTTTGAGGGTTTCAAATGATATATTCTTGTCCACAGACTCCGGAAAGTCTGTTGTTTTAGTGCTCTTAGATTTGTCTGCTGCATTTGACACTGTTGATCACAGGATTTTAATCTCTCGTCTTGAGCACTGTGTGGGCATCAGGGGTGTCGCCCTCAATTGGTTTCGGTCGTATTTAACCAATAGGAGTTTCTGCGTAAAAATCGACAATTTTATGTCTTCCACATGGTGTCCCCCAGGGCTCAATCCTTGGCCCTCTTTTATTTGCCCTTTACTTACTCCCCCTTGGCTCGATTTTTAGGAAGCATGGCATTTTATTTCACTTTTATGCTGATGATTGCCAGATCTATTTTCCCATGGCACAAAACAACACAGTTCAACAACTTACACACTGCCTTAATGATGTTAAGACATGGTTCTCTCTTAACTTCCTTAGTCTAAATGAGAACAAGACTGAAGTTATGATGTTTGGACCAAGTTGCCGTCCCTCTCCCAGCATAGATCTTGGCTCACTGTCATTGTATCTCAGGGACTGTGTCACCAATCTGGGGGTGAAGTTTGAGTCTGATTTTAAATTTGAAAAACAGATCAGCAGTGTTGTTCAGACAAGTTTTTATCAGCTCCGCCAAATAGCAAAAGTGAAACCAATCCTAGCAAGACCTGACTTGGAGAAATTAATTCATGCTTTTATCACAGCTCGTCTTGACTACTGTAATGCGCTGTATGCAGGCATTAGCCGGACGTCTCTTGCTCGTCTGCAGCTTGTGCAGAACTCTGCTGCTCGCCTGTTAACTCAGGCTCGTAGGCGCGAGCATATTACTCCCATCCTGGCGTCCCTTCATTGGCTCCCTGTGCACTACAGAATTAATTTTAAGCTTTTGCTGTTTGTTTTTAAATGTCTGAACAACCTTGCCCCACCATATCTGTCTGAGCTGCTTCAGCCTTACTGTCCACCCCGATCCCTACGATCAGCTGATCAGCTGCTGCTGACAGTCCCTAAAACTAGGCTGAAGCTCAGAGGTGACAGAGCGTTTGCTGCTGTTGCTCCCAGGTTGTGGAACACTTTACCCTTGAGTGTCAGACAGGCCTCCTCTCTTCCTGTTTTTAAATCTCTTTTAAAGACACACTTTTATTCTTTGGCTTTTAACACGTGATCTTATCTTTTATGGCTTTTTAATACACCTGCTGTGAAACTGGTATGTGAATGGTTTTTATGTTTCTTTGTGTATGCTTTGTATGTTTTTATTGTTTTGTTTGTTTTTATTGTGCAGCACTTTGGCTACTCTTGTGGTTTTTAAAATGTGCTATATAAATAAAGTTGATTGATTGATTGATTGATTGATGGTGGTTTGTTTACTTGTCTTCAGAAAGTTGTAGCTGTAGCTCAGTGACTGTATAGTGGATAGATGGATGGATGGTTGAAATGATGGATGGCTAGATGGATGGATGGTTGAAATGTATGGATGGATGGATGAAAAGATGAATGATGATGGTGGGGGTTTTTTTGTCTTAAGACAGTTGTAGCTGTAGCTCACTGTTTGATTGTATAGTGGATATATGGATGGATGGATTGGAATGATGGTTGATGGATGGATAGGATGGATGATGGATGGATGATGGTGTTTTTTCCCCTGTTTTTAGACAGTTGTAGCTGTAGCTCACTGTTTGATTGTATAGTGGATATATGGATGGATGGATTGGAATGATGGTTGATGGATGGATGGATTGGGATGATGGATGGATGATTGTGATTAGTTTACCTGTCTTCAGACAGTTGTAGCTGTAGCTCAGTGTTTGTTTGTAGACAATCAACCAGACATCCTGAGCTGCGTGGTCATCTTGGAGCGGTACATCACTGAGTTGAGGAGCTACATGAAGAGGTTCCCCTGGTCCAGTACCGGCGCTGCTCCTCAGGGTGGGGTGGAGGCAGAAGAATGGCATAAACTTCCAAGCAAGGTCACCTTCAGATACATGTTCACATTAGACACAACATATTAATGATTTTTGACTAAATAAACTAGTTATATCTGAAAGAGTTCAATCTGGTCCTCTGGACATTCAACAAAACGAAACAAAGCAAAAACAACAACAAAAAAATGTAGATACGTTTCGTCTTTCATCCGAAAGACTTTCTCAGTCTGAGGTGCTGTATTCAGCTCAGTCTCTTAAATAGAACCTTTTCAGAGTGGATCAACCAGTTTGCTGCTGACAACCAAAACCAGCTGCTCACATGGTCAAGAAGAACCATCAGCCTAACAATGGATCATTAGCACCCTGATGGCTGTTTACTGTTCACAGAGGGCTGAGTGATACTAGCAATCACAGCATTGTAAGAAGGGGACAGTTGAACCCGGAGGCCTCCACCCCTGTTTAATGATGGACGATTTCTTTTCAAAAAGATGGCCTCCTTTACTCCTCTCTCAAACCATCGTTCCTCTCTGTCCAGGATGTGAACATCTACACTCATCTCCAGGCCAGCGGTCACTCTTTCATGGATGAAGATGTTCACATCCTGGATAGAGAGGAACGATGGTTTGAGAAAGGAGTAAAGGAGGCCATCTTTGTGAAAAGAAACCGTCCATCATTAAACAGGGGTGGAGGCCTCCAGGTTCAACTGTCCCCCTCTTACAATGCTGTGATTGCTAGTATCACTCAGCCCTCTGTGAACAGTAAACATCCATCAGGGTGCTAATGATCCATTGTTAGGCTGATGGTTCTTCTTGATCATGTCTGATCTTGTCGTGGTTCCCCCGTTGATGTATATATAGAAGCAAGATGGCCGCGCTCAGAGCAGTTGCAGCTTCACAGGCTCCCGGTACCATCCCAGTTTTTAGAAGTTTTGATATTGACTCTGTGCCTGACTCCGCGCGATTTATGCGTGTGAACTATAGCCGAACCGAACTGATGAGAATAGGAGCGGATTTGCCACGAAATATAGCAGAAATCAGCGACAAACTCAAAACTACGCTCGGCAGAATGCAGATCTTAAAGTCATCTACCTGGAAAAAAGCTCTACAGTGACTGGTCTGAATGACTATCGGCCAGTGGCCCTAACCCCGATAGTCGCTAAATGCTTCGAAAAACTGGTCATGACTCACATCAAAACAACCATCAACATCAACGAGGACCCTCATCAGTATGCATACCGTGAGAACCGATCAACAGAGGATGCAATCTCCTCTGTGGTCCACACTGCACTCAACCACCTGGAGCAGAAAAACTCTTACGTCCGTATGCTCTTTGTGGACTTCACATCCGCCTTCAACACCATGATCCCCCAAACCCTGATGGACAAACTATCCACACTAGGACTAAGCCCCTCCATCTGCAACTGGGTACTAGACTTTTTAACAAACAGACCACAGTTAGTGAGGATCCACAACCTCTCCTCCTCCACCATAACCCTCAGCACTGGCTCTCCTCAGGGATGTGTGTTGAGCCCCCTCCTGTTTACTCTGCTCACATATGATTGTGCAGCTACCCATCCAGGCTGTCACATTGTAAAGTTTGCAGATGATACAGCGGTGGTGGGATGCATCACAAACAATGATGAGTCCAGCTACAGGCAGGAGGTGGAACACCTGGAGAGCTGGTGCAGAGAGAATAACCTTCACATCAATGTGAAGAAGACAAAGGAGATGATTGTGGACTTCAGAAGGAACAAAAACACCTACACCCCCCTGAACATAAGAGGATCTGCGGTGGAAGTGGTCTCCAGCTACAAGTACTTGGGTGTACACATGAATGACAACCTCAGCTGGAGCAACAACACCACCAGCCTGATCAAGAAAGCTCATCAGAGACTCTACTTCCTCAGACGGCTGAGGCGAGCTGGTCTGGGAAGCTCAGTCCTCACCTCCTTCTACAGGTGTGCAGTGGAGAGCATCCTGTGCTCGAGCATCAATGTGTGGCATGGAGGCTGCACAGCTGCAGAAAGAAAAGCTTTGCAGAGAGTGGTGAAGGCTGCACAGAAATCTGTTGGAATCAGTCTCCCCACCATCACAGACATCTACACCTCCAGATGCAGGAAGAGGGCCACCTGCATCATGAAGGACCCCACCCACCCAGCACACACACTTTTTGCCCCACTCCCCTCAGGAAGGAGGTTAAGGAGCATTAAGTGTAGAACCACTAGACTGAGGAACAGCTTCTACCCTGAGGCTGTTAGACTCATGAATCTCTAACCAGAATAATCACTGTGAAAAAAATCA